TTATGAATGTGCACCACTTGCAACCACATCCTATCTAATCTACTCAGCATCATATCAAGAGGGTGTTACTCTGAAACTAACCACTTGAGTGTATTACAAAACATCTGAGGTCATGGTGTTGTCATAAAGGAAAATGGCAGCTCAGAATCTAGAGAAAGATACAAAGTAGGGTAACAAGTATGGCGTGCTTCCTGAGTGTCATACGAAGTGTGTTAAGTGAAGTAATTCATTTACCCCTCAGAACTATCCAATGAAGTATGCACTATTGCAATCCCCTTTCTACAAATGAGGGAACAGAAGTTCAAAGCAGACAATAACTTTCTCAAGGATCCAGAGCTAATAGTTGGCAGAAGAGAAATAGAAAACCAAGGCTTCTGACTCTGGGATCTTTACGCTCAACCCTGTACTCTCTCAAGAATAAGGAAATGGTTTCCAGCTCTGGATGATGGAGTCCTTATCAATGAACATGATGTTCTAATTCCTTGCTTGGGTAGATCCCCCACAGAAGAAACAGGTACATCCACCAGTCACTGTTTGAATCCTCCCCAAGATGAGGCAATGGGAGTGAGGGTGCTGGACTCTCGTTTACAGAAGCACTCTGGTTGCTGGGCTAGATGTGGGAATAAACAGAAACAGTGCCAAGAGTCTGGAGGACAAAGGTCAGGGGTGAAAGTCGGTTTGAGAATGAGGGACCATCTAAATAAATACCAAACTCAGAGAAGATGGCCTGAGAGATGAAAACCTGGTTGAGGAAACAGCCATATAAAATGGAGCCACAAGATGAAGGAATCAAGTTCAGGAGATGCCTGGGTGTGGAACCCTTAGGTGTGGCATGTGAAGTGACTATTTCTTGAAGGAGTAGCCTGTGGGTGGACCCGTGGGTGGACAGTTATAACAATGAATTGTTAAGGCAGTCGATTCCCTCTGTCTTAATTCATGTTTTCCAAGGTTCCAATAGTAACTTGGCTTCTCATAGATTTGACTACTGGAGAGGCATGCACTGCTCAGACACCAGGAGTAACAGAGTTGTTTTTTACATTGTAAATTAATGAACAGGCATCTTGGTTGTAAGACAGAGTCTAGTGAACTTGGTAACCTGAGTCAGTTCTCCAGGACTTGGTCACATTTGGTGTACACAATAAAATTAAGTTTCTAGATCTGCAAAGTTGAAGACAACATCTTGTGTCTCAATTGATTCCACTTAGAGAACAATCTTCTATCTGAGAGAGTCGACTGGATCTCTCTTTAATATCTTTTTAGGGGTTAGGGGCAAGAGGTTCCAAGAATTCTATGTACTGAGAGTTCACTTAATTCAATCAAACAATTGATACTTATAATTTTTGATATTATATTTCATAAGCAGCAATGGCACTGAGAGGTGGGACTTTAGGAATCTCCTAATCTTTATCACCTTCACCAAGACTCCCCGAGTTTCATTACAGTAAGTCAATTCTTTATATAAAGTATCTTTGCAAAAAAACCTTCTTTCTATTGATCTGTAACATTCCTACAACTCCAAGGCACATGTCCCAGCTTCTCTTTAAGACAGACTTTTGATTCTAAGCTCGCCACTGTTCATGAGTGAAATCTGTGGCAGAACAAGGAGGGACAGCATATTCTACCAATAAGAAGACAAGATTAGGAATTAGGATCCTTGATTCTAGTGTTCTGATTCTAGCCCCACATGTGCTGACTCTGGGAAGCCAGCCCTTGTTTATCCTCTGCCTTGTTTATGACAGAGGAATTGGGTTTTTTTTTTTTTTATATGTAAAGGCCTTTTCCAGTCCCCAAATTCTGTGATCTTAAGAATTTCTCTGCAAGAAAATTAGATAGTGTTAAATTAAGTTATTTGGAAACAAACTTGCCAAACAAAGTGATCAGTATTTCATCAACCAGCCAGTCCTCATGTTGGCTTGGAGTTCACCTGGGTTACTTGATGAGATTCAGGGTCCATACATTCATCAAATTTACCAGAACTCATGTGGCATGAGTGAGAGTATCCTGAGAGAGACGGCTGTGTTTCATTGCTCTTCCTATACCCAGGACCTAGCCCAGCAGTTGTACACTCAAGAAATATTTCCCAAAGTGAACTAAGTTAATGTAGATGAGAAAAATACCATATCACAGTACATAGGCAATCTAGGGAATATGCCCAATCAATGTTTTGAGAAAGTAGATTAAAACTGCTTTCAAGATATTGCTTTACTACTTTACATGTACCATATGTATAAAAAATTAAATTATAGATAAAATGCTCATTTGAGAATGTTATTGACTGTCATTTTGAATCAAATAGACTGTAATGTTTTCCTTCATGTCCTTTAGTAGCACAACAAATTTCAACGGTCAAAACCTTTTGATATCATGGAACAAACAAAAACAAAAGTGATCTTGCTTCATTCAGTCAACACACTGTCCCTTAAACAAATTCCCTCAGAGCAGATTTTTGAGTAAACAGATGACCATCATCTTTGTACCCAAAGGATCGATGAACTCAGCTCGTAGAGGACATGAAAGCCCTGGACTCAGAGATCCCCTGAGCAAGCACACATCACCACCAGTTCTGTTCAACTCAGGTTTCTCATTCGAAGGAATTTACTTTAAAATTTTTATCTACTGCTTATGCAATCAATAAATGATTGGTGACTTTTATCAGTTCAAAAAAATCCACTCAGCTATGTGGGGGATTTGATCAATTATTCAGAAATTAATCTACAGAAGATCATATCTGAGTAGACATGGTCAAAGTCTCCAGATCTTTGTATTAAACCAGAATATGCTTAGAGGAGTTTTTGAGAGCATAATTCTGTTGAGAAATATAACATTTAAAAACATATCTTTAACTCAAGGACAGGCTTTCATTGCCTATAACATGTTCCTCAGTGACTTCCTAGATAATGGTCTATTTGAAACTACATTTTGTTTTCACCTTCCTAGAGGTTATTTTAATACCTTTTCCACCTGCTAAGAAGTGATGTTTTAAAGTTGACCCAATAATATCCCTTGGTGCTTTCAGATAAAGGAAGCTTCCTCTGCATATGTGTCTCAGAGTCTCCTGGAAGGCTATAGAGAACCATAGGTTGTTCCCTGGGAAAAGATGTCAGGTCTTCCCTGAGGATAAAGGATTGCAGATTAGTGATCATTGCAATTTCTCTCCATCATGTTGCAACAAATATGAAGTATTTGTAGAGGAGGTTCTAAAAGGACAGCACTTTTGTAGACATGACTGACAATGTGAATGATTGAAAGGGTGATGCTTGCTAGAATGAAAAGGACTTCCTTAGCTCTTAGGAATGAAGGCAGGGCATTCTGGGCTAATACACAGCCACCAGCAGGCATGTAGGGATCGTCACTGACAGAGCTCAAAAAGCAAACAATGGACCCCTGTCCCAATTGCTGATAAATATGAGGGGACTTCAGTGCCTTTCTCAGGATGTTGTGTTCAGCATCCTTGCTAGTGAGCAACGTTGGTGGTGGGAGAATATATGAACTTACAGGGGAATAGAAGTCCTAGATCTTTTAAGGCTACTGTTAATACATGGAACATGTGACTCTTCACTCCAACCCCCAAACTAGTGAATATTCTAGGTCCCTGAAATACTAATGCTGCAGTTATAATAAATACTAACTGCTTGTACAAAGTTGTGGTTAATGCATTATCACCAAGCCACATGCTTCCCCCCACCCCACCCCCGCCCAGCTCTGGAGATGGGTTTGCACTAGATCACTCCAGGTCTGTGTGGCCAGCTGTGTGCTATCAGGAGATACACATGTTTGGGGCTGTGGAGTCCAATCAGGCCAACTGGCACATTCAGGATCAAATTCTTGGCCTCAGGCTCACTCTCAGTGAGCTGCAATTCTATCTAAGGGATATTTTACCAGTTTAAGTGTATTCATTCATTCCCTCAGATAACATATCATAATGGAATTTGACAAAGGCAAACAAAAATCTATCCATAAGCAAAACTCTCCTTTCGGTTTTGGCAAAGTGGGTTTTTCCATTGTGCTTGAGCAATGATAGTAGGTACACTGGATCAGGAGTCCAAAGGTTTTAGATCTGAATCCTCATTTTTCCATTTCTCTACTGGGTGAGTTTGGACAGGCCACTCCTGTTTATTGATCTTCCATTTTCTCAACTGTAAACTGAGGGTGCTCTTTCCTGTAATTCATCATGAGCTTATTGAAAGGTCCAGCATTTTTCCCATACTTGGTTCTCAACAGTATTTATCAAATGATACTTCTATAATAATAATTTTGTTGTGAGATGTTTTATATGTTTGGTAAGGATAAATTTATAGGTTTCTGTAGTTTATGAAAATATATTAAAATGAGTTATTTCTAAAGTAGAATGTGTGACATGACTATCTTTCTGTGACTCTGCACTTATTCTTTCTAACCCTTATCCATCTCTCATCAAACTCTCAGATACACCATTCCTTACCTCACCCTCAACTTCTGACCACAGGGTCATGAATGTGTGGCTCTCAAGACATGAGGAAGGATAGGATAGATTGTCTGTTACTGGCAAATTTTGTTTAAAATCTTGTATTTTGGATCATATAAAATGCCCCTGTACCATGCACCTGGGTAGAAATGGCTACATCAGAAGGTCCTACAGCTGAGGATATTTATGAAATGCTGTGGATGCTGAAAAATTTGATGTTATAAACTAGACACATTCCAATATATTAACATTGGGTTTGTTTTGAAAACTCCCCAAGTTTGATTTTAGTTCAAAACATTTTCAAAGAATCCTATACCATGATAAAAAATGATGATAAGCTTATTAATATGGTACAGGGTTTATATTTCCTGTGTTTAGCCATTTAGGTTATACCAAGAAATATAAAAAAGTCATTTTTACCTTTGGAGAATTTTTAATCTATTTGAAGACAGAAAACACATGTGTGTTTTGTGCTTGCACACACACACACACACACACACACACACGTGCACTCATGCAAAGAGATTAGAAACTGGATATGATTAAAGAGGGCTAAGTGAGCAATTCATACAGTGAATAGTATAGGCATTTGATTGGGGAAGATTCTGTTGTTAAATGGAATTACTAGGGTAGAGTTCATAGATAAGCTTAGAAAGTAGGCTTGGTCTTCAAAAGGTGAGGCAAGTGGGTTCAGACAGGAAGAGAGGAGAGAGAAGGGCATTCTAGATGAGAGGATATAGCACAAGTAAGGGCTTGTGAGAAGAAATTATTGAGGCAAGTTGTGAAATTGACATGAGTCTTTTCAGATAAAACAAAATTTCTTGCTGAGAGTATCAAAATATGTATATGGGCAGCTATGGAGGAGGGATATTTTGTTGCTATCTTAGTCCATTTTCTATTGCTGTAACAAAATACCTGAGACTGGATGATGCAAAAAGAAAAAAAGATTTTTTTAGCTCACAGTTCTGGTGGTTTAAATCCCAAAGCATGGTGCTGACATCTGCTCAGCTTCTGGTGAGGGCCTTCTTGCTTCATCTTCACATAGAAGAAGGCATGACATGATTAAACACAGCAAGTGTGCCAGAGAGAGCTCACATTTATAACAAAGCCACTCCTGTGATAACCCATGAGTTCACTGATCCATTGGGTTGGGAGGGAAGGAAGAGTCCTCATGAGCAATCACTAACTAAGATCCCACCTTTCACCATTACTGAGCTGGGGACCAAGTTCCCAACTCATGGACTTTTGTGGGATGTATTCAAACTATAGCAGTGGAAGACCTTAAATATCAGTGTAAGCAGTTTGAACTTCACCATTTAGATAATGGAGAATCACTGAGGTTTAGAAAAGGGAACATATTGCTAAAAGGTGTTTTTTAAAGATTTCTCCCTCAAATAAAGTAACCTACAAGGTAAATCAGTAAGTAAAGAGAGGTAAGATGCTCACTTATCCTATCTGTTTGATAATGTTTTATTTTTTCTTTATTAATAAAATAAATGTAAAATATGAAAATTTGTGGTATAATGAACACCCACCTCCCAGTTTATGACAACTAAAGGATCATTACTTTACAGTCCTATGTAGAGTCCTCTTCCTTCTCCTACCCTTTTCAGACAGAGTAACCTAGAGTCAGGAATGTACTAAGAGTATCTGTATGTAAAATGGCATTGTACTAGTAAAATAAATAATAAATCAATCTAAAGGTCAACTGTGAAACACAATGTAGATTTAAATTTATTAAACCAATGGAAAATGGAGAAGTGGCCAAAGATGCAGCAAAGAAATGAAAAATCAGGGATGACGATTGGTAGCACATAAAATATAAGACAAAAATTTTAATGTTCAAAGAGAATAATTTATTTAATAAAAGATGTAGCACCTTGGGAATTTGTAATAGTCATGAACATTAATGCAAAAACAACATAGGGTTCAATCAGAGAAGTAGAACCACATAAATATTCTGTGTGTAGATAATATATAAGTATAGCATACATATACATCTATTTGAGCATATGTATATAGAAAGGAATCTGTTTCAAGGATTTGACTTTACACAACTTCGGGAGCCTAGACCTTGTGTAGGAGTTAGGGAAGCTGGAGGAGGATCCAGGAAAGGTGGAGAAGCTGCAGGTCCAGATGCAACCTCATACCAAAGAGGTGAACCAGCAGGTAAGCAGAGACTTTCACGTGCTACTAAATGACAGGGCTTCAGTTCTGTCCTCTGCATATTGCACAAGAATCCCTCTTATAGCTCACCTCAACCAGAAATATAAAGAAAATGGAATTGGGGGAAATTCATCAGCTTAGCCAAGTTGACATATTACAAGCTCACCACAAGAAACATAGCATTGATGTGTAAAGAGCAAAACCTTCTAGTAAAATAAGAAGAATTTCACAAAATCATAATCGTGGTGGAAGATTTAAATGTACTTTTATCAGAATGTGACAGGATAAGTGTGGGAGGCAGAATTCTAGGATGATACCCATGTTTCCTATCCTTGGTATATAAACTTTCCATAGTCCATCCCTATGAGCTGGATTTGTGAATATGATGTGATATTCCTCCTATGATTATGATTTGTGTGTGGGGGGGTGGGGTACCACTGAGCCACATCTCCAACCCTGTTTGGTCAGTGAAACAGGGTCTCACTGAGTTGCTTAGTGCCTTGCTGTTACTGAGGGGCGATTACTAGAATTTTCATTCAAAAACCTTGCATATTCCTCTATTTTACTACATGGGCTATTCATTTGTACATCTTTGACTATGAACTCTTCAACAGTACAGATCTATCCATTTTTTAATCCACGATGCTTAATGCTATTTGACACATGACAAATACTTAATGAAGAATTTTTCTGAATAAATGGATGTGAAAGTAATTAAGCAGCCCCATGCTCCCAGTTAGAATGTTAGGGTGAGGGTACTTCTACAAAAACCCCCTTCCAGATGGAGGAAGGGTGGAATGTTATTTATTGCTTACCTTAGGATGCTTTTGGATGTTTTTATTGTTGTTTTTTGCGGCTGGCTGGGGAGTGTGAGTTATGTTTGATGATGACTTGTTCAGGGTGAAGAAGGTGGAAAGCATGACTGTCACCTGAAAGTAGAATAAAAGAAATAGTAGATTTTTGTCCTCCTCTACCTGAGCTTGGAGTATCAGCAGCCAAGCTCAGTCTCTGTTCTCTTCACTCTCTCCCTAGGGAAACCTCATCTTTATTCCTGGCTTCAATTATCACCTCTTCATGCACACAGGTATCCCCACTACTTCTATATCAGGACTTATATAACTTCATAGTTGACATCTCTCAGAAGCACCTGAGGCTTACTTTTGCAGAATGGATGACCCTCTATTGCAATCCTAATCCTTTTCCTGGGTTTCCACTCCCCGGGCTTTGTGCCACCTTCGCTAGCCAGCCAGTATAACCCAGGAGCCAACCTTGAAGAGTGCTTTTTCCTCATCTTCCATATCTAATCCACCAAATCCTTCCAACTTTAGGCTATAAAGAACTTGTGAATCCTTCCACTTTCCCACTGTCAAAGCTGCCACCCAGTCCTGCTAGTCTGAAATCCTTCTGAATGGATCTACCTATGCCCATTTCAGGTTTCCTCCAATTCCCTCTCCACCTCACAGCTGGAATGATCTTCTCAAAACTCAAAGATGATGGTGTCATATTTCTGCTTAATCTACCTGATGGCTTGTGTTTCTAGTCTTAAACACAATTTATAAGGCTCCTATGGTCTGCCTCCCCCGCCCCGCCCACAGCTCCAGCCTGCTTTGAACACCATACTCCTTCACTCTCTGGGGCCAGCCACAGTGGGCGTTCCTTTTTCTTTAATAGGTATCATGCTGTCCTCACCACACCCCTCAAAGCCTTTGTTCATAGGCTTCCTTCCCCATTTCATGTAATTAACCCCTGTACTTCTTTCTGATCTTGCCTCAGATGTGATTTCCTTAGAGACGCTACCAGAGACCTCTCCAACAAGGTGAAATCCCTTTGCTATATTTTCTCAAGAACATGGCCCCTTTCTGTACAGCATATTTTCTAAGTTGTGACTGGGCATGTGTATGTGTGTCTGTGTGATTATTTGCCTTGTGCTTGTACATTGTACTCTGGGCTCTGTGAAGCCCAAGCATCCTGTGTGCTTTAGCTAAGTGCCGTGCTTGGCTCACAATGAGTATGCCATAAATATTTGTCAGATGAGTGAATGAAGAGACCAGAAACACCCTTGTGTGTTCTTAGTTGGAATCACAGTAATAAAGTCCTGTTTCTCTGGTCTATCCACTGGGACTTGGGAACTGTATAGTCATAGGTAACTTGGAGACAATGGTGTCCATGATCACTGAACCAGGAGTTACAGCCAAAATACTAGGTTTTGACCTAGCTTTGTAATGGTGTGGCCTTCAGAAAGTTGTAAGTTTCTTAGGTCTAAATTCTAAAAATTTACCTACAGATTAGGTGTCTCCTGCTCTTGGGCTGTGCCCAGCTCTTTTCTCCAGGTCCTCTTCTTCCCCCTTGCTGCCTGCCTTCTCAGCTGGAAATGACTGAGGGCCTCCTGCAAAGGTAGGGGAGCGCCTTCTCTGTGGGAGAGTTGGGAGGAAGCACATGGTGTGGGTACTAATTCAGTGGACTGCCTTGGTATTCAAAAACTATTGCTCGATTCTATTTCATCAGACAAACCAGCTTTGAAAAACAAGGCTTGAATAATTGGCAAGACAAGAAGCCCGTCCCAAGCACAGTTTTTTGTTTTGTTTTTTTTTTTTTTTGCCTACAAGGATGTTAATTCATCAAATTTAAATAACCAGAAGACTTGTTTTGGGGGCATTTACCCCCTTTCGTGTTTAAAAGGGATGAAATATATGCACATTGATCTCTCGTCAGCTCAGAGATCTCCATGCAGTACAGAATTTCAAGTGACTGTTGTTTATTTTCTATGTATTTTGTCTAAATCTCTCATGGTCAATGAAAAGGAGTAACTTGGTTTTCAAACTGAAGTGCTTCTCCAGAAGAAACTCAAGAAGTTGCCTTCTGGATCTTTCTCATTCATGGATCCCAAATAGCCTCCACAGATGGGGTTGAGACTCAGTCCGGAGGAGGTATCCCCATCCGGTCCCACAGACTCCCAGTGTGAAGCTTGCAAGAGTCTTTCTGTATGTTAATTTTTGCATCTCTAGAATGGTCATGGCAGTTCTTGCCAAAATCACTGAAACAATCCTGGAAGAAAATGAGAAGGATTAATCTTGTAGGATGATGAACCTGTATTTGTTTAGATTCTATAGTTTGGATGAAAAACCTCCTTTAGTAAATAATGTTTATACTGGTTTTATCTCTACCTGATTTGACATTGACAATACCAAATTACACCCCAACCACCCACTTCTTAATAAGAGGGGGAAAAAAATCAGAAGCAATTGTGTAACATGTAAATCTCTTCTGGACCAGGGCCCATCTCTGTGGTTTGGCAACACAACCAGTGCAACATCTCTTTTCTCATCTGCTGGGAGAAAAAAAAAAAAAAAAAAAGAACCAACAAAGAAAAAAAAATACCTGGAGAATAAAGGTAATCATTAATCTATCAGGCACAAAACGGAACCTTCTGAGGATTTCAGGTTCTAACTCACCAATTCAAACGCATCAGCAGCCAATAGGGAATGACCATTTCACCAGAAGAAGATTAAGTCACTCTTCTAACTACGACAGTATTTGGACAGCCAGCGAACCTCACTGGAAATCTCCAGAGATCTGCCAAGAGTAGTCTTAAGTCTCCATGTTCATGTGCTGGTGAAGGTGAGGACCAGAACAAGCAGGTACTGGTGGAAAGTGGTCCTTGGAGAAGCCCCAAGATGCAGACTGAGAAGGAAGAGACGAGGAAGAGCTTCAAGCAGAGGCTGGCTTTGAAGAGCAGCTTAGCCAAGGAAACGATTTCCGAGTTCCTGGGCACATTTATAATGATTGTGAGTATTTCCTGATTTCCTAAGTTCTGACCCCATAATGTTTCCCTGGCTGCCATGCAACTGGCACAGAGTTTTGCTTTGTTTGGTTTTCTTTAAAAAATTATCAGATTCATCTCTTCCAAGAAGCAGCAAGTTACCTCCTGGCTGTTAGGCTATCTAGTGGCTGTAATGTTAAGTTTTCATTTACTCATGACATTCTTCATAGCAGTTAATGGGTCAGAGGAAGGGAAGTGGAGTGTTTTCATTTCAGGGATTTTCTTACACAGAATCTAAAATGGCCCTGTGATTGAAAAGTCAGTTGCTACAAGTTGTTGTTGTTGTTGTTGTTTTGCCATTAAATAATTGATTTGTATCCAGCTTGCTTTCTAAGAGCATTGAAGTGACTTGGTCACCTGGTATAGTGTCGTCAATATGTATGGGCGGCAAGAAGCAGCTTACCAGAAGAGGTGCTTGGCAAGGGTATGTTGTCAGATCCTTTGACTTTTAATAAATTAGAATCTGCACCAGGTTGGAACAGGGTATATGCTGTAGTGCAGCTTTGGTTCTGTATCATTTCCCCCTCTAACTCAAACAAATCTCTATAAAGATTCTTAAAAGGACAGTTACCAGAATCTTCTAGATATAAATTAGGGGCTGATTTTAAGAAACTTTAAGGATTTGTCCACAGAAAGATGTGCTCAGCTACTAACAAGAACTGTACCATGTGCTTCAGTGTCACAGACTCTAGGCTTTCGTCCTCTGCATGTTCTAACATTCTCTGGATCCTGAATTTTCAGCTGGAGTCAGATAATTTGTGAGTAGAAATTATTGTCACTTGGCATTTGGCTACTACTGACTTCAACTTGTTAAAAAAAACACTCAAAGATTTCTCTACTCTATATGTTATACTTTTCGTAAGGTTGTAGAAAATTGCTCATAAACTTTGCACATTGAAAGTTCTTTGCTTGGAGAAAATACATACTAATTTAGAAAATAAACTTGTATATGTCAGGCAAGCCAAAATTGAGAAAGGACATGAACTCAGAAATTTGAACTAGGGTAACATTAAGAGAGAATCGGACATTTTCTGATCCCTGAGAGACTTTCTACTCCATTCACACAAGGATTTGAGGAGAGTTGGAGACAATTTCTTACACTCCTCACCTTCCCCTGGCAGGAAGCCCTGGTTGCTCTGACCATATTCATTCTCAGGATTTAGGTAAGGGGAGTTAAAAGGAAAGGGGAGAAAATAAAAGCCAATGATTCTTTCCATTCTAGTCACTGTTTATTGGAAAATCACTCTAGGCAAGACAGGGATTCTTGTGTCATAATTCTTGACAATTGGGCCCCAAAGAAAAGAGCAGTTGTCACCACAGACTGATTTCAGCCCTATGGTGACTTGTGGTTCTGAAAAATGAAGCAAATTCAGTTACCATGCTCAGTCCTCTGAAGAAAGTGAAAAGGAGGAAGTGAACTAAACATTTTTTTTCTGCAAATGGAAAAGTTAAGTCTCCTATTTCTACACACACACACACACACAAATTGTTTTATGATTCCAGTATTTTTTTATAAATACTTTTTAGATTTTAAGAACCTTTATTTTTTTTACTTATTTATATGTGGAGCTGAGAATTAAACCCAATGGCTCACACATGCCAGACAAGTGCTCTGCCACTGAGCCCCAGCCCCAGCCCACTAATTCCAATCTTTTGACACAGAGAAGGTGAAAGTTGCTTTGAACCATTCGCTGCTCTGCTCACGAAGCATGTCTTTTCAGTGTGAGATTATGATAATATATTTTTTGATTTTCAGGCTTCCTGTCTCATAACTCCCTCCCCAAGGTTGTTCATAGAAACCTTAATCATCCCTGCCTTTCTATCTTCAAGCCAGCCATAAAGAGATTTTTTAACTTACCTTGTCTGATAGTAGGTTATAAGACCCCCATTTCAGAAGGGATCCTGCCCCAGACCCTTGAGGAAGGAATGCTACTTAGAGGGGCTGAGAAGAATCTGAACAGACAAGGCTGGGCTGTGTTTCCCCATCTAGTGTTTTTGTTTGTTTTTAATGCTAGGAATCAAAACCAAGGCCTTGCGTGTGCCAAGCACACACTCTATCCCTGACTATCCCCCTTCCCCCACCACCAGTCTTATAGCATTACATCATACTCTTTGTCCAATCATGTTTTCACAAGGTGATCCAGACTTTAATCACATCTCTGCAATCAAGTATCCTCTCCATAAAAATTTATAAGGAGAGCTAAACACACGAGGTTCCGGGGGGGGGGGGGGGGTACATCTGCAGAGGGCATGGAAGCTCAGCCCCACCTCTACATGTCTCATTCATCTCTATCTTCATCTTTGTAACAAATCTGTAAACCTAAGTAAATATTTCTCTGACTTCTATGAGCTGCACAAGCCAACTAACTGAACCTAAGGAGGGGTCATGGGAACCCCAAATTATGGCTGGTATGTCAGAAGCACAGATAAGACAACCTGTGGCTTATGAATGCCACCTACTGGGGGGAGGGAGTGTGTCCTGGAAGACTATTGGGGACTGAGCCCTCATCCTGCAAGATCTGATACTAGCTCCAGGTAGACTGGGTCAGAATCAAATTGGAGGCCAGTGTCTACCTCAGATCTAATTACTTGCTTGCTGGTAGGAAGAAGTCTGTACACCTTTGGGGGTCACAAATTGTTGGGTGTGGATTGTTGTGTTATGAGAGCAGAGAAAAACACAGTCTATCTTTTCTATACCCAGAACTCAAAGTGGGAGCTAAAGAAATTGTATCTTAATGTATGTTGAAAAATTACACTCGTATCTTTTGGCTAAAGTCAATCATTTTGTGAAAGGATTAATTTCTATGTTATACTTATTTCCTAAAGTGAGCCCTGATATAGATTATAATTGTAATCTTCAGTTTTGTTGAAATCTCTGGAGATGTGTAAACAAGTTTCTGCATAATCTCGGTACTTTTTTTAGCCAATGTGTTTACATGGTTTTGATCAAAGAGTATTCCGATTTTTTTTGGAGGAGGACTACAGGAGATTGAACTCAGGGGCACTCAACCACTTAGCCACATCCCCAGCCCTATTTTGTATTTTATTTAGAGACAGAATCTCACAGAGTTGCTTAGCACCTCACTTTTGCTGAGACTGGCTTTGAACTTGTGATCCTCCTGCCTCAGCCTCCCGAGCCACTGGAATTATAAGCATGCACCACTGCACCTCGCCAGATTGTTTTTGATTTTTTAGAAAATGTGTATTTTGCCTTGTTTTTCTAGTGAAAATAATTGCATATTGACAAAGCAGGGAGAGGAAACATTAAAAAGATGGCAGAGGATATGCAAGATTTATCGGTTCTTCAAATTTGATAGAATAGTTTTTCTCCCAGACCCTAGTATTCTGATGTCATTTCTCTCCCCCTTCTCAAAATCTGCTCCTAGGGGAATCATCTCAAACTCATTCACACTATGGTATAAATGACACACATAAGGACCTAGTGGTAGCATTAAGAGAGGAGAAAGTCCATGAAAAAAATCTTTGTAAATTACAACTAAAACCGTCCAGTTATAAGACAAAGAATTAGCTCTAATTTGGCCTTGTAGACATTCAGATAGATAGGCCTTTCATCGCTACTATTGTTAGGGAAAGGTTTACAATACATCTTCTTTACTACAGAGAAAAATTTTAGAAGCATTGAGTCTCAGTTATAATGAACTCAATTATAATAATTTTATATTAATAATAATAACAATGAATAGTTAGCCGCTTTATTACCACCCCATAAACAGAAAAAAAGGAGGGCTGAAGGAGAGAAAGTAACTGATCCAAATCATAAAAACGTCAAACTTGATTTCTTTTTAATTCTAGAGCCTATACTTTCTGAGCCACTTCCCATTTCTGGAATCCCTTGGGGAACATCCCTGATAAATTGTACTCCCTTTGAGGTGGATGGGGGCCATGTGGTAGCTGTTATTTGCTTGTGAGCAGAGGAGTTGAACTGATGGGTTTGCTGGTGAGATCAGTCATTGTACCCCAGGGCCAGTGTCTTCACAGTGAATAGACAGATGTGAGGTAAAGACAGAGCAGGAGACCCTCAAGGCCTCTGCACCATTGCTTGTGGCCTAGGGACATCCAGTAGCAGACCCTGCATGAGCACTGAGACCCCCATGGGAACTCACGTTGTCTTCCTGCTCCTGCTCTGTTACTTGACTGCATTATGATCTTGAGCAATGGATTCAATTTCTTTGAGTCTTAGTCTCTTCAAAAGGAGCTAACACTTCCTAGTGTTTTTGTGAACACTGGATACACATTACATGTAAATTTCCCAACAGAGGAAATGCTTGTCAGAGGTCAGCTCTCTTTCCCCTTCCTAGTACCTTTCCCTCATCTACGTGAGAGGACTTCTTGTGTTTGGTCTTCTCTTGTGCATCTTAAGGTACCTTTTCCCAGCTTCTGTGGTGGAGTTGTGCCCATAAACAAAGGAGACCCCATAAATGTGCATACATTAAAATTTGTTCATTTTGGTGCTAGGGAATGAACTGAGGGGTGCTTAACCATTGAGCCACATCCCCAGACCCTTTTTAATTTTTATTTTGAGACAGGGTCTCACTAAGTGGCTTAGAAACTTGCTTTGAACCTGTGATCCTCCTGCCTCATAAAAATCTCTTTGGTGGGCTGAACTTCTTAGACTCTCTAGTCATTTAGAGTCATTTCTCACAGGGGCTTTGTCTGCTCCTCATTATTCTATATGCCCTCCTCTCTTCAAACTTTCCAGTATTCTTTGATGCAAAGCTCATCTTATTGAAAATGCTGAGGCAAACAACCTGGAAGCTTCCATATTTCCTCCTGAAGTGGGATGGTATCCTTCCAGGGCTAGAGTTATGAGTAGGTTACATCTCCTCATGAAGTGGTGAGGCCCTAAATTCTTTTCTCACCCTGTCAAGCTTCCACATTAGAGATATAACTTTTGGCATCTTTAAGAGTTAAACAAAAAAAAAGAAAGCAACTACTTCTGTTAAAAATAGTAACCTTGATCTGCTGTGCCATGGAGGAAAATAGAAAGGAGCCAACCTGGAACACGGAATATGGAGTGGGGAGAGGAGTGGGCAGGGCAGAGGGAGGGAGGGAGGAAGCAGACAGCCAGTGGTGCTTAAGAAACTTCAGACACCACAAGTGTTTCCTACTTCCTACTTCTGTCCTCCTCCGTGACTTCATGACCAAGGTTCCTCCTTGCTGGGGTCACAGAGTTCAGAGTTCAGAGTTCCATTCTGGGAGGACTCTCAGTCAGATATGCTAGCTATAGAAGCTGTAGGACTTTAAATTATTATTCCAAAGTGTGTTCTGATCTTGGACTAGGTCTTCCTTATTAAGGAGCTTTTGAAACAAAAGAATATATGATCAGGATTCAGAAATAAATAGGAAATTTTTAAAAATAAGCCAGATAAAAGGAGACACGAACTTTGCAGGGAATAATTCAAGGTAGCTTTGGTTTACTACACTATTTATGATCCCCGGGTACTAGTAGGATAGCCCTGAGGTAGGGGAGAGCAGACAGCATTGATCATTTTTGTTGATGGCAGAGCTGAGGCCCAGGTTGATGTGATCATGTACCCTGTGAATCAGCCCAGAGCAGCTGCCCGGCCTTAGGTTCTTGGGTCTCCTTTGTGGTTTTCCTCAAGGGAGGATAATGTGCTCATCTAGGTCCTATTTTCATTTAAATGACCAATTCTATTTTCCCAGATGTTACAGGTGTAATGTAATGAAGAGACTGACCCAAGATCACCCAGCCCTTGAATGCAAGGGTTGGACTTGATGTCCTGACTCTAGTCATTCCTAATGTATCATCATTTAATGAGAATTCAATTAACTCCTTTCACGGGAAAGCCCAGGAGTACTTGATTTTTATTTTTTATTTTTTTGGTGCTGGGGATTGAACCCAGGGCCTTGTGATGCAAAGCAAGCACTCTACCAACTAAGCTATATCCCCAGCCCTTAACTAATTTTTATAGCCTACAATAGGTATTAGAGGTGTCAAAGGATGGTTCCACAGAGCAGACATGATCACAACAGGGAAATTATGTAGAAGATTTGCTCTCAGAGTTTCCAGATCTCTGTGTTGCCTACACATTTTAAACCTCTTGTGACACCAGGGTTCTGAAGTGGGTCAACCATGACTTCGTGGCTTTGATGAATGTGTTGACCATGCATTACACTGTTTTTCCTCTGGTGCTTCCTTTTTCTGGATCCTCCTGGACACCATTTTTTTTGGCTTAGAGCAAAGGACCAATACGAAACTGGCCTCTAGAGACCCTATCACGCCTCTCTCTTACTTTATGGCTCATCAGCACCTGACTTTTCTGTTTCCTCCTTGCTTGGATCTTCTAGCACATTGCTTTGCAAAGCCCTCCCTCAGCCTAAGCTTGAGAGGATCAAGACTGAAGGTCACACAAAGCTTGAGCTGTCAGTTCACCTGCTGCTAGTAAGTCAGAAGCCTCTGCTGTCAACAGTGCTCTGGCTGATTCTGGCCACAGATGGTGCTATAGTTTGGATTTCAGATATCCCCACAGAGTCTCATGAGTCCAAGGCTTTGTTGCTAGCCTGTGATGCTATTGGGAGGTGGTAGAAGCTTTCAGATGTGGGGCCTACTTGGAAGAAGCTGGGTCATTGGGATATGCCCTTGAAGGGATGTGAGGACGCAACCCCTTCTCTCTTGCTCTCTCTGCTCTCCGGCTGCCAGGAGATAAGCAGCTTCCTCTTCCATGTGCCCCCTACCAGGATGTACCCACCACAGACTCAAAGACAAGAGAGCAACAGTGGACTGAAGCCTCTGAAATCATGAGCCGGACTCTCTCCACCAATTGTGATGTCATGGCTATCATATAGCAGTTCACATATGAGTGTGTTTATATCTAGACTATTCAGGGATCTATTTGTACAAATGTGCACTTGTGTCACCTGGTTTTTGTTATAATCACTTAGTAAATATCTTTTGTTTTCTGGTATTTTTGTCATTTTTTTAAAATGTTGTCTTAGCCA